GTATCATCAGTTCATCAGTAATAGATTATTTGTTATTGTTTAAAATCAAGTAACGAATTCCGATGTGAAACTGCTTGCACAAAATTTGGCTGGCTAGCTCTCATTCTATAATTCCGCACTATATAACTTTTAACCTCCCTGACGCTAGTTACTTCAGGCAACGATACAAAGTATACCTCGATGATGGCTGGTAAAATTGCGCTGGTGTAGTGGCTTCCATATTGAGTTTTTACGAAGGCGATCTGGGTTTAATCCCGAATTTGTTTGCTTAAATCAGGTTGGGGGGAAACGTAAATTCCGCTATAATAGTGGTATATCACTATTATAGTGAGATTCCGCTATATTTTCAGCCGTAGTTACCCTCGATTTCATCAGATAACATACTTGCTGATTAAAGCGCAAGTTATGATGGGTATAAAAATGGAAAATAATTTGAATCCTTGCATGTTATGAATTTTATTTAATTTTCTGCCGATGCGTTTAATAATACGAACACACTTTTTAAAGCGGAAGTTACATTTTTAACATAGCAACCAGTGATTGCGGTAGTATTGAACAAAGACTGACTCTTAATATCTCTCATACATGTGCACAAATTAGTGCTTGTAATAACTTTGAACCCACTTTGGAATACGTTTGTCGAATTTACAGAAGAAAAGGTGATTTTTGCCTGCATGGTAACGCGTATGGAGGCCCGTTGTGACAAACGAAAAAAGCTCATTACATGTTCACTTTATTCTGATGAAACCGATTTGTATTGTTTAATTGCAATAAATCGTAAACAATGATGTAAGATGTCATTTCTGCAGGTAATTACAAACACATTGTTTGACATTCGTTTTGGGAATGTTAAAAACAAAGTTTACAATGCGAACAACAAAGGGCCTCGGTTTTAAGGGTCTTTCACCTATTCCCACTTTAATGGTCTATTCCCACTTTTTTAAAAAAAAAAAAAAAATACAAGTCCACCTATTTCCGCTTGCAAATATGATATAGCTTATTCAGAATATAACTTTGGACAGTACAGCCCATCAGTAACAAAAATAACTTATAATCTATACATATTTTACAATAAGTAAGACTCTCAAAGAGTCTAAAAGGGGGGTGAGACCTCTGATCAAGTGTTCCCCAGTCCCACAGTTCCATTCACTTGTATAGAAGATTATAATATATGCTATAATATAAAGCAGAAGAAGGAATACTTTAAAACAATATAATTGTTTTACAATATAAGTAGCAATGCTGTGGTATTATATATAAACATCTGAAAATTAACCTTGAACAAATAGACATTGGGTCAACCTGACAGATCATCGTAACGTAATATAAGAGCATGATGGATAAATTTCCCTAAGCCAACTAGGGTACATATGCGATGTGAACCGAATAACTAAAGTAATTTAAATTTACTTGGAGATTTGTAATAGTATTCATTTATGTATTTTTTCCTTAAATTAAGATATCTATGGCATTGAAGAATGAAATTAAATTCGTCTTCAATTTGATGAGTATCGTAAACATCGCATAATCTATCCTCCCTGCTCTTGCCTTGTGTTGAAAGTTCATTTGTGTTTATAACAATTATGTTAATTACATCTCAACTTAGATGTTTTTTTTTTTTTTTTTTTTTTTTTTTTTTTTTTTACAATTCAATACACTTTAAGACAGAAAATACATTAAATAAATCGATTAATTTCACTTAATTTTGTACAGAAAATAAATAAATAGATTTTAAGAAAAAATATGATATGATTCACTCAAATTTTTGCTAATTGAATACGTACACTTTAAGAGAAAATAAATTAAATCGATTCAATTTCTTTTTCAATTTGCTTAAGGGAGTATGGTACTGACAAGTCCTAATTTCAGAGTAATTAAAACTCTAAAACATCCACATAAAATGAAGAAGTACCTTTATATATTTCATAAAATATTATAAGAAAAGGTTCTAGTGAGTAAATCAAAAATTATGACGCACTAAAATAAGGGGGGTAACTCTGTATGATAAAGTGATATTTTTATAACCAATTTTTAAAAAATTGAGAACAACAATAAAAACAACATAAAAATATTTTTTTGAAAACGATGTCACCCACAATATTGAAATTTTAATTTCAAAATAAAATAGTGCAAGAAAAAAGCCAAAAAGACAAATTAATTTTGATTCATTTATATCATGACAATTTATTGGGAAAATGGGTTCATGTATATGTACAACGTATTTTTTAATAATGAAAGAATAATTAAAAGTTTGATATCTCATGCTATATTTATAGTGATTTGCTTGCTTTACAAATTGCTAATAAAAAATTATAATGTTAGTGTGTAGTTTTGGAGTAATGTGCTCCCGAATTTCCTGACCCGAATTTCCTCTGCTCAAAAAGCTGTTATAAAATGTTAAAATAATGAGATTGCAATTTATTTACTTGCTTATAGTTTCTAACTCTCCTGATTTTGTCGTTTTAAACTCAAATTTTTATTATAGTTATTATTTTTCTCTTGTGACACGGCGGGCAATGCTTTTCACCAGATTTTTGCCGAACAATCCGAAAATCTCCCGATTTCCCGGTTTGGTTTTGTACATTATCGTGTACATGTCACTTCCAGTTTGCAACTCGTATACAAAATGCCGAATCGGAATCAAAGTTGAAAGTAGACTTGGAGGAGGTGTTTACAATTATCTATGAATTGTTTTGAACAAAAACAAAAATAGAATTTGAAACTCCGGCTTATAATTTCTAACGTTTTAGTGGAACGGATGAAATAAAGTGAATTGACGAAGACAGAATGCTCGAGGCTTATTGTACATTCGTTCTATGTCTCCATGTTTAATTTTAATTAATAATAAATCTTTGTCTTGAATGAATATTTTCCATCTTGAGGAATATTGAAAGATTAGATATGATTCAGTAACTATTAACTAACCAGCTATTAAACCGAGGTCCGTAGAATGCGGGGGGGGGGGGGGGGGGTCTGAGTAAAGTAGATTGTTGTAAATTTTTCCTTAGATGCTAGTCTCCAATGTCGAGCACTAGCAAATTCCAGGATTTGGATAGTGAAATTAGGTGTTTTTTTATATTTGCTTGTCAGATTTTTGAGAAATATTGCCCCCTTTTTTGGTCTTTTTTTCCTTTATCAGATTTTTTTTGGGAAGTTGTCCCCCCCCCCTTTTTTTGAAATTGTTGCTACAAGTCTGACTAAACCATCATACATGCTGTTGAAGCTAGGTAAAATAGTGACACCACCACAATATACTACACTGTACTTTGCTATGCATGTGTACAATATGGTGTAGAGTAACAGCAATATTTAACAGAATCAGATAAAATTTTAAGAGCTAAAACCACAAAGTACAAAAATAGTCCTTCACTAAAATAGATGAACTTATGTTTTATAATTTGAAGGGTTTTAAACTATTTATCTTAAATATCTTTTTCTAGTTTTCTTTTTATGGTTAAAATAACCTTTGTTTCTCTAATTATAAGTATCATAAGTTTACAAGTCAAGCAGTAGGCTTGTAGCAACGGTTTCAAAAGTGGGGGGGGGGGGGCACCTTCCCCCAAAAAAATCTGTCAAGCAAAAAAAAAAAAAAAAAAAACTAAACTCACCAAAAATAGGGGAGGGGCAACTTCCCAAAATAATCTGATGGGCAAAAAAAAAAAGAAACCAAACTTATTAAATGTCCATTTTGTGGAAATTGACAGTGCTTGACCTTGTAGCAACGGGGGGGGGGGGGGGGGGGGGGGGGGGGCAATCACTATAGCAAACTACTATACTCAGAAAAAGTAGGTCCCCCCAGCATTCTACGGGCTTGAGCAGCTTTGTAATACTGCACCTGACATAACTCTCACACACTGACAGGAGCTTATAAATGAAGATAAAAACTTACAGTACATGACGTGAGGCAGCTTATTACCTCCTCAATGTAACCATATGCATGAGGGACGGGAGATTATTAATACAAGAAAGTTGTAGGAGATTATACATTCATGACATTGGGTCAGATTATGACACAGATTTGAGTCATAAGCAATTTTTGTGTCAAGTATCAACTACCAATTAGCCTCCATTTGAGAGTAATAGACCAGGTACAAATAACACACCTTTTCTGACAGAAGCCTTGAACTTGCTGGAATGACCTTGAGTCAAGGTCAGTTACTCAATACATACATGTAACCTTAGGTTATATGCAATATTTACGATCAGTATGAGCATCTCATGTTCTCCATACAAAATACAGGAATTCAATGTTTTTCTTAAAATGACATTTAACTTGATCAAAGGATCTTGAGTCAAGGTCATGGCACGCATTTGGGTCATTAGTCAGTCCTTGTGTGCCATTTTCATCATTTTTCCAATGGAAAACCTTGTTAAAAATAAGGAACATGAATTTCCCAGGTTCTACTCTTTTTTTTAACATGCAGTGTATTTAACATCTGTTCATACAATGATAAGGTAATGAAATAATTTTTATAATGAAATGTATTTAATATTGCAAATTTCATGAGAATCAAAATATATTAACATATTGAAAACTTATTTGCTCTATCTACAATTAAAAAAAAAAGAAAAATAATTTGTAATTTGACCAAATTTGAATTAATGAAAACTTATTACATTTAGTACCAAACACTGACATTGTATCTAAAAATGATGCTACAGACATGGCAAATTCTGATAACACCAATAATGTATCCACAACTGATGTCATGGACATTTCAAACAGACTGAAGATATATGACTCTTTTCATATAAAACTCTGGGGTCTTTCAACTGAAAAAGTCTGCATTCTGAGATAGAATCCACTTTACTTTTTATAACGAGTCACACACAGTTTTCAATTCACATCTTCCATCAATAACTCCATATTGAATTTGTTGGCAATGCCAGTTTTAAACTGCATTCGATTAATACTGGGACATCATAGGAAATGATAGTGTATCCAGTGACTACACTTTTCTTGTCGTTACTCAAAACTTTAGTCTTATTCTGATTGTTACAAGAGAAACTTCTATGTTCACTTGTTATTGTACACCTTCATTCCATTTATTTTTAGACCTGGAATTTTGTCTGCCTGTTTATTGATTGTTCTTTGTGGAAAAAGTTGAAAACTTTTCTCGTCTCATTGCTTATATGATCATGATGTTCCCGCTCTCTGTAAGAAACAATAATCTTGTTTTAGTTATTAGTGCAGGTGATAAAATAATTTTCATTTTAATAACAATCAAATGATCTTGTCCACCTGATCTAGTCAATACAGGCCTACAGAATGGTTGTGTGTGTTGGGGGGGTGGGGGTCTGTCCTCCTAACTTTTTTCTGAGAATAGTATTTGGCTATAGAGTAAATTTTCATTAAGATGTCAGTTGCACCCCCCTTTTTTTTTTTACTAGAGGTCTGCATCAATAAACTTGTTACATGTATATGGGCAGTTAGTGATTTCACATACCTAAACCTGTTGGCTTTATTTCAAACATGAAATGTTTAATAAGTTAATAACTATGAAACATACAAGTTGTATGTCCCTATGATACTATAAATAAACAATAATTAAGTATGTTTGTATTTATGTATAATTCATAATATTTAATGTCAAACCTAATATACCAGTTAGTATTCATCAAACAGTTACAATTCTTGCATATGGTTAGTGATGGGAAATTGGGATTTTTTTCATAATTGATTATTGGAATAATGGGATGCACTATAATCGAAAAAAAAATTGATTAATTTCAAATATTATATTTCTTCAATTTCAAATGTAGAATAAATTGTTTAGAAATTCTGGAGTGATTTCCAAAATACATTTTTGAAATAGTTTGTATCATTGGATTCATTTATTAGATTATTATTTAGGATTTAGTTAAATTCAAAGAAGAATGAATCAAAAATTAAAGGAATAATTTGCATTTAACTAATATTTTGAGTAATCGATTATCTATAATTGGGGACCATTTCGATTAGATAATTGATTTAATTGATTAATCTTTACATCACTACATATGGTACTTTCAACTTTATCTAAAACTTGTCATGGGTATCAACTATGATATACATGTATTTGTCTAAAAGTGACACATAGGTCTGATTGACTGATTACATGTATTTTTATGTTTTTCCTCATACTGTAATATATCACTACATGTATAAAATACAATTTACTTGCTTACTAATTGTGAAATCTAGCCAATTATCAAAGAAAATAATCTAGTAAGTAAAGCCAAGGAAAATGATTGGTTAAACCTGCTTTGTTTCCACTTTTATCATGTTCATGCTTGAAAAATTTAGAGTTCCGGTAGGTACTGGTAGGCATATTTTTAATTCTTTTTTTTTGCGTGGACTTTTTTAAATAAAACAACCAAGTAACACTGATGTCCAGTCTATGCGAAAGTTTTTTGGACCACACAGGACATTGGGTCCTGTGTAATCAATGAACACACAGGACCGAATCAATTTTTGTTGGACCAAAAAACCTAATGTAAAAAAGTGAAAGACATGAAAATGCAGAGTAGTAAGCCTAACACCTTTTCTTTTACAAGGGATTGCTCCCGCATAGTACTGTAGATGGTCCATACGGTTTTAATCACCTTCATTTACGTATTTGGATTTGTGAGAAATTTTTTACTTATAACGAACATTTACATGACTCCCCATCAAAATAATAATGCTCAAAACTGGACATAGACACATCGGACATTCTGGTCCGGTGTAAAAAATGACGCATCGGACCAGAGGCACTACACATCGGTCAGGTCTGACGGTCCGATGTCTTTTGCATAGACTGGAAGTCAAAGAAATAGTGTTTTATTTATGGTGGAAATTTTTTTATACATGCTATTATTGGGGAATTTAAAATGAATATTCATATTTTTCTTGAAAAAGCATTTTAAAAAAAATTGGGGTCAGCTGCAAAATAGGGTGGGTTCACTGGGTTGTGAAAGTGGAAACAATTTTGCCTAACAACACCACAGCCTAACATTTTGACAAATGTAAATGTACCTTAATGGTAGCTGATGATCCATAAGTTAGGATATCCACAGCATGAAAGAGCTGCTGAAATGGCATGGACATTTTAGAGCATCTGTCATATCACCCCCAGTTCCATAACCCTCCTTCCAAGTTTCCAGATAGCAGATATTAAGGGTTCCAGATCCTGTTCCATCTCAACTTCATGTTCAATGTCCACAATATTAGGGATACCTATTCAAATAATATATATGTACTACTAAATCTATATAGCTGAGATTTCTTCCCTATCACTGCATATATGTAAATGTAGATGCAGTATAAACAAAACGAGTGTTTTATTTTATTTTCATATTGTGTGGTCTACATGATTATGATTGAGTTTCACATACTCTATAATATGTATTGATGCTTTTAGCTTTCATGAACTCAGAAGAAAATTCAATTAAAAAAAATGATTATAGTCAAAATTGCAATTCAGACACTCTACCATCAACATAACTTGGAAATTAATAAGGAAAGAAATAATCTTAATAAAAAGAAAAGTCCTGTTTTAGGCCAAAGAATTTAGTGGTAAGTATTATTTGTGTTGTAGTGTAGTGAATTTTTTATCTAGTATGTTTTGGAAGAAAATTGTCTAGACAGTGTCCAACACCTTGCATCTGGTTACCTTCAAATTTCATTGAGTTATAACTGTGTCTCATATGACTTAACATTTATAATAAATTATTGTTTCTTTTAATATATTTTCTATGTTTGCTAAATTTAAAAGCATCAATACATACATGTAGACATGATAGAGTACATGAAACTCGAAACGTTTTTCCAAAATCAAGCGCACCTGAATAACATCTATAAATTTTTGAATTTTTATTGATTCACCAACATTCCGGAATGCAATCATGTCACACAATATAAAAATAAATTGCAAAACAGAATTGTGTATAAATCATGTAAATTACCCCCTCATGTGTGCACTGGTAACCAGTGGTATTGTTTTTATTATAATATAGTGTAGTGCTCTTTATCACTTTTTTGAATCTATATTGTAAACAACAACTAAGGAAGAATATAACAATTTTTAATCACAAAATCTCTGCTTTTTTTTGAAAAAAACTTTAACATGAATCGTCACTAATTTATAAATACAAATACAAATATTTTATTGGCACAAACACAATTACAGTAATTGGTAAAGGCCCATACAGAACACATTAATAAGTATAATAATACAGTAGAACACAACTAGAATACAAACAATTGGTGTAGCAAATAATGTAGTGTACTCATCAGATACTAGGTGATTCATAACAATGTAGTTACTCATTTATAGCTAGAACATTTTTTCTAATATCAGATATTTGACATAAAAATGAAGATAATATTTTAAGAACCCTTTTACACCTGGTTTTCATCAATGATTTTAACAAATTGTCATTATTATGGATTGTTTGGTTGAAATTAGGGAAAGTAGATAATTTTGTTTTGAATATTTTTCTCTGTGCTTCATATTTCGGACAGAGCAAAATGAAATGTTTTTCATCCTCAATATCAAGGTTTTGACAAACTTTACACAACCTATCATTTTTATTAATTTCAACATATCTACCTTTTTCAATTTCTAAATTATGTGCACTTAACCTAATTTTTGCTAAAAATGATCTATCATGCAGTGTATAATGTTGTGAGTTCACTCATGCCCCCAATTCAGAAAAAAAGTACCCAGTTCACTCATATATATATATAAATATATATATATCTTATCTAATACCGGTATTTAGCTGAGCCACAATCACTTTTACTGAATTTCTGAGGTAATGTTAGTTAAATGGTGTCAAATACTAGAGACAAACCTGGGCAGATCGTTTTTGCTAGGCTAGAGTTGTCATGCGTTTGTGATTCGAATGATGGGTTTAATCTTTGCACAGTAATTTTCAGTCAGACGCAGCTCACCATCGCCTTTCTTGAGTCAACGAAGCCTTGCTGTGCCGCTGAATAGATTTGGTTGACGAAAATCCTCGTTTTCTCCGCATTTCATTCTTTTCGAAACATCCGCTTTGTTTACATTACCGAAAAGTAAGATAAGTCGTAAAATTACCTCGACTTGTTGTTAGTTTGAATCCAATGAAATTTTAGTCACATTTTATATGATTTTATATCAAGTATATCTTTAAAATAAGTTGCATTGTAAATTTTATTTCCAACTCTACTAAAGAGATGAACGACATACGATTCATTTACGTCATTCGGAGTTGCGCGGTGGATTCAAAATCGTCACTACCATACGTCCTTAAGCTTAAAATACTGTATGAAATGTGAAGATAACAAACAGTAATCAATCTCAAAAGTCCATTGAAACAATAAAAAAAAAATAAACAGAGCAAACACGGACCCCTAAAAAACATCAGAGGTGGGACCAGGTGCCATGGAGGAGTGAGCACCCCCTACCGACCGGTCACACCCGCTGTGTGCTCCTTGTCAAAAAAACCGTAGACAATTCAATGTGTAAATAATGGCTTATGTGTGCTTAAAAAAGCAGGCTTAATATTTTAGCGGCTATGGCGCAGACAACGATGCACTTATTCATGATAACCATAAACAAATGAATTTCGCAAAATTCATGATCGACAGGGGATGCCTTCTCCTCCATAGCATTTGATCCTACCTTTTCGCTCTGCGAAAAATTTTATTGTTCAAATGGCCTTTTTCGTTATCTTCATATTTCTGTTTCTCCTTGTATTTCGTTTATTTATACCAGAATAATCTACTTCTGGTAATTAGGATTTCATTGTCTCTTTTTTAGTGAATAACGTAGTCAAATATAAAATTTTATGCAATTTACACGATCAATAAATTGTGCAGAATTTATAAGACGTCACATCTACAGGTAATTTTCACAACTTTTCCCCTTTTCTTGCTAAGACTAATCATTTTAATTCATGGTTTCATCATCAAGAAAGGAAACATTATACATGTACCTAAGATTACATGTAAAAGTGACATATATTGCTTACGATGTAGACGACACAAATCGGTTCCGTTAAAGTGAACTTGTGCTGAGCTTTTTTTCATTTGTCATAACGGGCCTCCATACCAGTAACCATGCAGGCAAAAATAACCTTTTCATCTGTAAATTCGACAAACGTATTCCAAAGTGGGTTCAAAGTTATTACAAGCACTAATTTGTGCACATGTATGAGAGATATTAAGAGTAAGTCTTTGTTCAATACTACCGCAATCACTGGTTGCTATGTTAAAAATGTAACTTCCGCTTTAAAAAGTGTGTTCGTATTATTAAACGCATCGGCAGAAAATTAAATAAAATTCATAACATGCAAGAATTCAAATTATTGTCCATTTTTATACCCATCATAACTTGCGCTTTAATCAGCAAGTATGTTATCTGATGAAATCGAGGGTAACTATGGCTGAAAATATAGCGGAATCTCACTATAATAGTGATATACCACTATTATAGCGGAATTTACGTTTCCCCCAACCTGTAAATTTACGTTTTCAACTTTATAAATGATGTTGAGTGTTTTTTTTGTTAGAGATGATAGAACATGATTTCTAGATTGGCGAAGGGACCTTTTCATGCGTCGTCGTTAGTTCCGGTCGCTTCCGGAAGCGAATTTAAAAGATAGATTTTTTCAACTTCAATATTTTTCTATATTTGTAGGGTTAAGAGAGCCTCTTTTCAAAATACTAAATATACAATTTGTTTTCGAATTGATAAATCCAAACTCTTGATATTCGTCATGTTCACTTTGAAACGGGACATGAAATGGCGTAATGGTTACCACGTTGGATTTTCACGCTGACGACCAGGGTTAAATCTACAATGTCAGAATTTTTTTCACTTTTAGCTTGAATTTATATTTTATTTTCAAAATCAGACGGAAGACCTCTCATTGCTTGCAATGAGTTTCTACTTAAGGTCTTCCGTCTTCACGGAAGACCTTATAGTGATTCTACTGTTTCTTCTTCTTCTTATTATTATTTTTTTGACATTCTAATTTTGTGCACGCGATTTCTCGAAGACTATTTAATGGATTTGCATGAAGTTTTCAGGAATTCTGAGTTGTAACATGAATTTATAATATCTGAGAGAAAATTTGGAAATTCACTTCCGTTGCCAAGTTAAAGACCATTTTCTCATTTCAAAAAGACATTTTCTCCGCGGATAATCTCAGGAACGGTAAAAGATATCAATGTGAAACTTTCAGGGATTATAGATCGTGATAGATACTAGCTGGGTCGCTACTTTTTGTTCGTCGTCGGCACTTGCTAACGGAAGTGATCAAAGAAATCGTAAAATTTCAACTTTCCTTTTTCAAATCAATACTAAAATCCCTTTATTGCATCTCTTTTGTAGTTTCAAAATATGTTGGTCCCACCGGAAACAAAAACGTCAACTTCCGGTTATAAGAGAAAACTACATAATTTGAGTATTTTTCTTTCCCATTAATATCTTTTGTAGATAAAGTATTTGAAATGAATTTTGAATATGTTATTTAGACTGCAAATGTCTAGAGTAACGTCAAATATCTTTGTAAAACTCACTTCCGGTCGCGTGTTTTTCTGTCCTCAAAATGAGAAGTTGTTTGAGCAAGATCTCGGAAACGGTAAGAGATTATGACACCAAACCTATATGAGCAACAGACCTTAAGATGTAGGCAAAACCATTTGGGTTAAGAACGTCAGCCGTCACTTCCGGTCGTCACAGGAAGTGATCAAAGAAATCGAAAATTTGCACTTTTCTTTTTTTAATTAAAAATTATATCACTTTATTGCATCTTTTTTGCAGATTTGAAAGATGTTGGTCCCACCGGAAACAAAAACCTCAACTTCCGGTTATAAGAGAAAAACTACATAATTCGCATAAATATTCTTTATAGATAAAGTATTTAAAATGAATTTTAAAAATGTTATTCAGAGTGCAAATGTCTAGAGTAATCTGAAATAACTTTCGAAAATTCACTTCCGGTCGCGTGTTTTCCTGTCCTCAAAATGAGAAGTTGCCTGAGTGTGATCTCAAAAACAGGTATAAGATTAAAACACCAAACTTTTATGAGTAATAGATCTTGAGGAGTAGGCGAAACCATTTGGGTTAAACGCGTCAGTCGTCACTTCCGCTTGTCACAGGAAGTGATCAAAGAAATCAAAAATTTTAACTTTTCTTTTTTGAATTGAAACTTTCATCACTTTATTGCATCTCTTTCGCTGCTTTGAAATATGTTAGATTCCACCGGAAACAAAAACGTCAACTTCCGGTTTTAGGAGATAAACTACGTTATTTTTATATTTATTTTTCTCATAAATATTGCTTATCGATAAAGTAATTGAAATAATTTATGTATGTTGTAGATACTGCAAATGTCTCGAGAAAAGTCAGAGATTTTTATAAAATTCACTTCCGGTCGCATGTTTACCTGTCCTCAAAATTAGAATTTGTTCTCACAATATTGCTCGGCAACAATAAACGACTGAAGTCTAAAATTTTCAGGACTGATAGTCAATCATTAGTTTATTTGATTCGTGAGAAAATCTTGTATCGCCGTTATTCCCGGTCGTGACAGGAAGTGATGCAAAAAAGTGAATGCTTAATGGTTAGCACGTTGGATTTTCACACTAACGACCAGGGTTAAATCTCCAGTGTCTGAATTTCTTTTATCACTTTTTCAGCTTGAATTTTCGTTTTTATTTTCAGAATCGGACGGAAGACCTCTCATTGCTCGCAATGAGTTTCTAGTTATTATTAAGGTCTTTCGTCTTCACGGAAGACCTTATAGTGATTCTACTGTTTCTTATTATTATTATTCTTCTTATTATTTTTTTGACTTTCTAATTTTGTGCACGCGATTTCTCAGAGACTATTGAGTGGATTGAGATGAAATTTGCAGGGAAGACGTGTCGTAGGCTGAAGTTATTTTATTCGGGCGCAAATTCCAAAAATCACATCCGGTGCCAAGTAATGGACCATTTCCTGATTGTAAAATGCAATTTTGTCCAGGGATAATCTCAAGAACGACAAGGTATATAAACGTCAAACTTTCAGGGATTATAGATCGTGATAGATACAAGCCTGGTCGCTACTAATCGTTCGTCGTCGGTACTTCCGGTCGCTCACGGAAGTGACTTTCAAAAATCGATTTTTTTTATCTTTTTCGTTTTTGAATATTTTTCTGCGATATTAGTAGGGATATAGAGGGTCTTATCCGAATACCAAATATATAATTTGTTTTAATATTGATTTAAACACACTCTAGAAATTCGCTTTTTTCGTTTTGAGCAGCTTTATAATTTTGTGCACGCGATTTCTCGAACACTGTTCGATGGATTTACATGAAATTTTCAGGAGTATTGTGTTGTAAAATAAACGTGACCTATCTGAAAGAAAATTTGAAAATTCATTTCCGGTGCCAAGTTATAGACCATTTTCTGATTTTAAAATGACATATTGTCCGCGGATAATCTCAAGAACGACAAGATATATCAATGTCAAACTTTCAGGGATTATAGTTGGTGATAGATACTAGCCGGTTCGCTACTTTTTGTTCGTCATCGGCACTTCGGTCGCTTACGGAAGTGATCAAAGAAATCGTAAAATTTCAACTTTTCTTTTTTAAATCAATACTTACACCACATTATTGCATCTTTTTTGTTGTTTCGAAATATGTTAGTCCAACCTAATACAAAAACGTCAACTTCCGGTTATAAGAGAAAAACTATATAATTTGAGTATTTTTCTTTCCCATTAGTATCTTTTGTAGATAAAGTATTTGAAATGAATTTTAAATACGTTATTCAGACTGCAAATGTCTAGAGCAACATCGAATATCTTTGTAAAATTCACTTCCGGTCGCGTGTTTTTCTGTCCTCAAAATGAAAAATAGACTGAGCAAGATCTCGGAAACGGTAAGAGATTAAGACACCAAACTTACATGAGCAACAAATCTTAAGATGTAGGCAAAACCATTTGGGTTAAGAGCGTTAGCCGTCACTTCGGGTCGTCAAAGGAAGTGATCAAAGAAATCAAAATTTTCAACATTTCCTTTTTAGCTCAAAGCTCAAGTGAGCTTTTCTGATCACCCGTTGTCCGTCGTCCGTCCGTCTGTCTGTCCGTCCGTCCGTCCGTCCGTCTGTAAACTTTTCACATTTTCAACTTTTTCTCAAGAACCACTGGGCCAATTTTAACCAAACTTAGTACAAATCATC